AGCAAGGTAGCATCCGGCTCGGATGCTCGCAGCTCCCTTAACCGGGAACGCCATTGCGCCCATTGTCGCACTCCCTTAATAGCCTCCGAGATCGAGGTTGCTGAGGATGGTTGCACCAAGAAGTTTAACATTGTGCTGCGCTCGTTTGCTCCACCTGGTTGGTAAACTGTCAGCAACTTGTAAAATATCATCACCGACCCCAACATTCGAGTGGAAACGATCTCGGTCTTCAATCTCTCCGGAATCGCCTGTAGCAGCAAAGACACCGCTCTCTGCTCCAACAAAACATGCACAGTTCGAACCACCTTGAGCCCTTCTAGCTCAGCCTTGATGCCCAACCTTTCCAGTGGAGAAACACTCAACCATTTGGCATACGCTTGATATGCCTTTGAGTAGACGCATTGCCACCACACTCTTCCTGTATCTGTCAGCGAAGACAACATTGGTTCGATCATTGCGATCCAATCACCCAGCGCCGTCGGATTGCTTGGCGTGTAGTCTGCCAAAGTTGGAAGGCTCATCACATGCTTCCCGAGAGCCTCCGGACGTTCGGTTCCAGAACTATCACCAATGTTTGGCATACCACGTGGCACCACAGCTCCAGGAGGTAAGCTGACCCTTCCACCAGGCCCTTGCGGAGGTCCATGTCCCATTCCAGGCGTAAACGCTGTAAGCGGAACTTTTTCTAATTCCAACTTCCCAGCGACCATTTTCCACCGATACGGAACATTATCCACCATTGTATATCCACCCGATCCTGCTGAGTTCTCCTGCGTTGCAGTTTCCCGAGCTGACACAAAACCGGGCTGGTTCTCCACAAGTGCGGCAGAACCATCAACACCTGACGGCACGGAAGTAATCGGAACATGTGTTAAACCAGGTGGTCCACTTGCATATCCACCACTTGCAGGACCTCCCGTGGGGTAATTCAATGGAGGCAATCTGGAGGGTTTCTTCCCTTCAGCTACATGCATCATTGGCACTTCTTTTTCATCCTCCACTTGAACATCCCCCTTCCTGGACCCAGGCAAGGATTGAAGATCACAACCCTTTGGCAGGTCGTAGCCCTCAATAGGCAGCCATGTCCCATCAGGCAACACAGTCCAAAAACCACCCATACCATCCGTGTAGAAAACTTGTCCTGGCAGGTACTGCTTCTCTGGAGTCATTCCTAGAGGATATGCCGTGTTTGCGTCCACCACTCCAGAGCTCCGTGCCCTTGAAGCTGACCCAGATGCAGCAGAGGTATAGCTTTTTTCTTCCACCCGATGCAACCTGTTCCCCAGCTCCTTTGTCTGCACAAGCAACTCTTTCAGCGCACGCTTCACCACCGCCATATCTTCAGATTGCTCTTCACCACTAACATCAGGAATGAGTTCTTCGTCGGCTTGCACTCCACCAATAATACCTCGCTCCATTTGTCCCATTAAGCCCGACGATGGTCTCTCAACAGGTGCAGGTTCCTGACCCAAAAGATCTGGCAGTGAAGGCGGTCTTCTCGTACCTTCACCACTCCTGTCCCCTCCGCTCGCGGGAAGACTTGCCGGCCTTGACTGCCTAAGTCTCATTTCTTCTTGAGCCCGCTCGCTCCAGAAAGGATTTGCTGCTTGAACCGGAACCACTTCGTTTTCCACCTGAGGCGTTGGTTGTATCATTGCAACCTCCCTACCATCTGTCAGCGCTTGTACCATTTGTTGTCGATCTTCACCCCCATCACCACGATTTCCTTCGGCTTCATTGGCCGTTGGCGACAGTCCAGGCTCAGAGCGACGCCGCATCATGTCCATGGCGTTAAACAAACGAAAAATCTTTACCAATCCGCAGGAAGCCTAATTTGGGCTCATAACCTACGGGGGGCAACCGAAGGAGGACAAGGAACAAAACAGTCAACCCCAACAGAAGCCCTTAATACCCCTGGAACAACCAACACCCGAACAGCAAGACCCCAAACCAAGGGCACACTTTTTACGAAACCTTCGACCGCTTTGGTCATGGCTTGAGCCAACGATTATCGGGTTCATTGACCCTTGAACTTCCAATACCAATTCCTTTCTACAATACCAATTGCAGCTCCGCACCCTAAACCCTAAACCCTAAACCCTAAACCCTAAACTCTAAACCCTAAACCCTAAACCCCCTAAACCCCCTAAACCCCCTAAACCCTAAACCCTAAACCCTCCCCGAAAAAAGAGCTGCTGGCGGAGCGCCGGATCCCTTCTTGGCACTGCAGCTTGCGCTGCTTCTGATCATCCTCCTAGGGGACAGGGCCAGTTGAGGGCTTATAGGATTTGTTTCCGGGGTTTAGGGTTTAGGGTTTAGGGTTTAGGGTTTAGGGTTTAGGGTTTAGGGTTTAGGGTTTAGGGTTTAGGGTGTTATCGGGTTCGGCACTTAGGGGGTCTACCAATAAGAGCGATTTCTGGTCCTACTGGTCCAGGTTTCCAAGCATTTAAATCTCGAAAGGATCGCCACGCAAAGGAAGCTCAAGGGCGTTCTACCCGCCTTATCTGAGGCCCCCCTAAACCCTAAACCCTAAACCCTAAACCTGGGCCTTTTAAGGCCTTGTTCATGGTCGGCTTTCAGGGTCTCTCTGATTCTCGCGTCTACTAAAAGTTCAGGAGAACAGTTGGCTCTACTTGGGGGGCTTCCGACACTTCGGTGTGCTCTGTGGGTCTATGGTTCAGAGCGAATTCTGCATGCTACAACCTAATTTCCGCTCCACCATTCGTTCCGGGTTGGAGTTGAAGTTTCACGGTTGCAGGGTTTAGGATTTAGCTTATTTGGCTTAGAGCTTACAGATAGGATTCAGAGAGCACTACTGCGCACGGAAAAAACCGCAAAATCGCAAGCTCCCGGCCTTAATTCCTCGAGGTAGCTTGTATACCCCCGAATCATGGGCCCCCGATGCTCTAAGCCCTGTCGCTCCTCGACCTGCTTCACGTACGACTGCATGTCTCTGAGCCGCTGCTGGCGTGCGAAGGCATCCTGGAGGGACTTGGCAGACGAAGGAAGTATAAGGGGCTTTGGGCAGTGAATGCATGCGTTGAGCGCGCGCAGCCCCGTTTCGTGCATCCGAGCTTGGGAATGGTCAGCAAATTCCAGATCTCGAGGTACAGCCCGAGTGTCTCGGCTCCGTTCTCCAGGCTTCGGGAGACGACTCGATTTTGGCAGCTGGACCTTTCAAGTCATGATGCGTGCCATGCGGAGAGCACGCTTGCAGCAAGTTTGCCAGGGCTCGTCCTGCACGGAAGATCCAGAGCCCTAAGCCATGAAGGCCCAAAACCCTTAACCCTAAACCCTAAACTTGAGGCCCTAAACCCTAAACCCTAAACCCTAAACCCTAAACCCTAAACCCTAAACCCTAAACCCTAAAGCCTAAACCGCAAAACGGCGGCTCCCAGAAGCAACCTTTTCAACCGCAAGGTAGCACTCACACCCACTACCTCCTAGGCATCAGTCCCCTTTTTTTTGCAAGGATTGGTTTATTAGGGGTTTTTTTTTGCCACCCGCCTAGCAGACCCCCTATGGGATTAGGGTTTAGGGTTTAGGGGTTAGGGTTTAGGGTTTAGGGTTTAGGGTTTAGGGTTTAGGGTTTAGGGTTTAGGGTTTAGGGTTTAGGGACCCCTAGACCCGAAAACCTCTGCTCTGAACCCAGGAGAGTCTTAACCTCAACATCTCAACGAAGGACTCCAGAAGCCCCCAAGGCCTCGTAAAGATCATGATGACAGCGATCCCAGGTTCGCTCAAAATCCTGGCATCTCCGGGGGTGCGTTTAGGGTTTAGGGTTTAGGGGTTCAGGGTTCAGGGTTCAGGGTTTAGGGTTCAGGGTTTAGGGTATAGGGTTCAGGGTTCAGGGTTCAGGGTTCAGGGTTCAGGGTTCAGGGTTCAGGGTTTGGGGTTTGGGGTTTAGGGTTTAGGGTTTTGGGTTTTGGGTTTTGGGTTTTGGGTTTTGGGTTTTGGGTTTGGGGTTTGGGGTTTGGGGTTTTGCTGCTTTCCCTGCGGGGTCTTCTTCTGGTTGTTTTGCTTCTTGACGGGTGTTTAGGGTTTGGGGGAACTGGAAAGCCTGTAGGCCATGCACTGAAAGAGGGCAAGCTTAGGGTCGGGGGGTGTGAGGGGTTTAGGGTTTGAGGAGTCGCAGTAGGCCAGATGCAAGAGGGTTTAGAGAAAAGGGGTTTGCTGCTTTTCGGCATTTGGGGGCGTCGTCGGGATACTGCCAAGAGTCCCGCCCTCAGTCCGGCTGCAAAAAGGCTTTCAGGGGGTTTAGGGTTTCGGGGGTTTAGGGTTGTAAGGTGCAGGGAAGAGTCGAGGGTATAAACCCTCAACCCTAAACCCTAAACCCGAAACCCGAAACCCGAAACCCTAAACCCTAAACCCTAAACCCTAAACCCCAAGCCCTGAAACCCTAAAACCCCAAGCCCTGAAACTAAAACCCCAAACCCGCCCCACCTTCTGCGGGACCGGCCGCGGGCTCGCGCGGCGCCCGCGTCGGGGCTCTGGAGGCGGCGACTCGGAGGACCCCTTGAGGCGCTGAGAGTACTTGGGGACCTCGTTGGAGCCGAAGGCTTATTCTCTTTAGGCCAGGGTTTGTAGGGTTTGTAGGGTTTGTAGGGTTTGTAGGGTTTGTAGGGTTTGTAGGGTTTGTAGGGTTTGTAGGGTTTGTAGGGTTTCGGGTTTCGGGTTCAGGGCAGGCTTAGGGGGCTTGGAGGGCTTAGGGGGTTTAGGGGGGGTTGGGAGGGTTTAGGGTTTGGGGCTGCTAGGACTTGCTTCGGTTTTGGGGAATTCGAGATGATGGGGCTTGAATGGGGTTCGTGTTCAGGATACCGACAGAGTCGCTCCGGTTGCATGATCTATTTGGGGGGGGGGGGGGGGCTTTCGGGGCCTGAGGGGGTTGAGGGCATAGTAGTGGAGCTGAGCCTGAGCTCTACAGTTGTTCGCTGCACCGTTTTGTTGAAGGGCGGCAGCGGGTCCTATGCTAAAGCCCCCCCCTGATCCCTACATTGGCCCTACATCCTGGCTATGGCCGCGGCTGACATGGGACATCCGGCGAGCCCGGTCGTGCGATCGTTGTAGACCTGGCTGAGGCGCCAGAACTACTCTTCGCTTAAGAACCTCCCCCAACAAAAACGATAATCCCTATAATGCCCTTATAAGGAAGAATACTTTGATTTTTTGGGGGTTCTTAAGCAAGTCGTGGAGAGCTTCACGACCACGCCCTTCAGGAAAGGTCGCCCGAGGCTCAGCATGTCGATTCAAGCACCCCCCAAACCCTGAGACTCTCACATGCCCATCATCATGAACTCGAAATCCGAAGGCTTCGTTTCTCAGCAACCATGATGGTCCATGTACCTGAATCCCTAAATTCTGAGCACCCCTTCACACCATGAGCCCCTCTCAACACCAAGACGCCAAGAAAGCCACCCAAGGAAATGCGAACCCCAAACCCTAAACCCTAAACCCTAAACCCTAAACCCCTAAACCCCTAAAACCCTAAACCCCTAAACCCCTAAACCGCCGGCCTGTGAAAGCCTGGTCATCAGGGTGTCCTCCTGGCCCCCTTCCTCCGCTCCCTCCTCCTGCTTCGTAGAGGATTTGGGGCTGGTGCGGGCCTGGGCCCTGATCTTCCCGCTGTGTGGTTTAGTGCTTACTAATAATCATAACAAAAATAAGAATAATAATAACAATAACAATAATAACAATAATAACAATAATAACAATAATAACAATAATAATAACAATGATAAGAATAATAACAATAATCATAATGATAATAGTGATAATAATAATGATAATAATAACTTAATAGGGTCTAGGGTCGAGGCGTTTCGGTCCAACTGCAGCTGAAGTAGACCAAACCCCAGGCTCCTTGTCGCGTAAAAGCTCCAAGAAGCTACCCCCCCCCTGCATTAGGGCTTCCTTGCTGAGTTCATAAGCCCACAAAAAGTGTACACTTCTAGTTTTGTAGAGATTCTAGTACCCCCAAAAGGTGTGAAGTGTGCTCATTCAGCTACTGAGAGGGGAAACAAACCCTAAACCCTAAACCCTGAACCCTGAAAGCTTCCAACCCACATCCTGCACCTTTCACACCTAAGCGGAACCCAGCCTTCCCTCTACTGACCCTAAGCCCTAAACCCTAAACCCGTTTTGCAAACCCTAAACCCTAAACCCTAAACAATAAACCCTAAATCCTAAACCTCCGGAGGAAGATGTGGCACCCAATGCCTCCCCAAAACGAAACCCCTCAAGCCCTTCTGCTTGAGCTCCGCAGGCCCCCCTACCTTGCCGTATGGCTATCTGGTCGAAATTAGGGTCCCCTTTTGGGTACCCTGCATAAGCGGAGCTGCCTTATAAGAAGGACCCCAAAAGGGACCATATTTTGGAGAAGTGACCATCTGTTCTTGCTTGTTGGCCAACTTTCGAAGGCACAGCTACCTTCAACCCCAGAAACATGAGTTTTGAAGAACTCCTACCTTCTTGCACGCCCGACCCCCGCGGCCCCAAACGTTCCCTGAATGCCGAAGCCTAAACCCACAGAAGCCCAAAGCCCGATATACACCAAAATAGGTGTAGCTAGGATATACGCACACATGTATGTAATATCCAGTATCTAACAATATAGATACACACACACACATATATAATACTTAATGATGTATAGTATTTTGTATACTAACTAGAAATGTATTTTGCTACCACATATGAAAATATCGTATTATATATATATATATATATGGTGTACAATCAATAATGTGCAACATATACCACCTAATATAAACAGATATTTATAATATCATCTAGAAAATGTCGTATATCATGTATAATATAGAAACATTCCATATTATATTTATATGTAACCATCTCTAGCACATATTTTCAATAATTCATACAGATTTATAGATATACATATATATATGTATATATATATATTACTCCATATGATGCTATGATATGATATATGGTATATGGTATATGAAAAATGCTATCATGCCAAACCGTTTCCTCTGCGGGCTTCTCTGGCGACGCGGCTGCTGCGGGCGACGTTGATGCCGCTGCCACCGGCGACGGGTTCCGCAGGCTGGCGTTGCCTCAGTGAAGGGTTGGGTGTAGGGTGTACGGTTTGGGGTTTAGGGTGAATGGCTTCTTTCCGAAGGGGCAAGGGGAGTTCAGAACTTTGGGGTTTTGGGCTTTCAGGGCCTTAGGGTAGGATGCCAATGGTCTAGGGTTTTAGGCTATATTTAAAGGCTTGGAGGGTCAAGTTCAGAAGGCTTCCCTGGGGTTATTGGAGCCTTCTCTTGCAGGGCTGCGAGACTTGTTCAAGGCCTAGAAGGAGGAGCCTAGATTGTGGCGGGGCCGTTGGCAACTGTGAAACCCCAAAGAAGGCATTCTCAACCCCAAAAGTAGGCTTCCAAAAACCTCAACCCTCCATCCTAAACCCTAAACCCTAAACCCTAAACCCTAAACCCTAAGCCCCCCTACCTACGAGCTCGGTGTGCTTTTCGGGCTGCCTGCTTAGCTGGCATCGCCTTGCGCGGTTCTATACTCCCCTTAGAACCTTAATAAATATAATAACACTAATAATAATAACAATAATAATACGAAAAATACTAATCATAATAACAATAGTATTAAAAATAATAATAAATTATGTTGAACATCCTCTTGGGTTTTATATGAACAGAAATAAATAAAGAATTCCCAAAAGGGGGGAGGGAAAGTGTTGGGAGGGAAACCAAATTGAAACAGTGCGTCTGCAAAGGGGTTCCCGTCACGTGGCAAGGCTCGCGGTGGTACATGTCTACGTTGAGCACCAAGTGGCGCATGAACACAACATGAAAACCGCACAGAACCTAAACCATAACCTCAACCTTACAAACATCGGCACCATTAAAGCGCTGTGCAAATGAATCAGGCAGTTTGAGTCATCAGCCCTCAAACCGGCCCTGCCTTCCCATTCCCCCTTCCTTCCTTTTCCTGCGCTGCACCCGCTCAGCGCATCAGGCACGCGTCGGGCGCGGCATGCCGTGAAACTTTGGGTCAGGCCCCCAGCATAAACAGGACCCTGGTAGTATTCTCACTATAGCTAGGTCTTGCGCAGACGACTACAGTACTGCACGGGGGCCTCACCTGCCTGAGCATGCTGCATCTTTGGAGCGGGCTCTGTTCGGCGCATGGAACCAAACCATGATATTCGGGTCGCTGTCATTAGGGAGTCCTACTATTTGGGGGTTTAGGTTACTTGGTAGGGGTCCCTCATTTTCGTAAACTCCCAGATTGGGCCGCCAGCTCGGATGTGGCTCAAGAGTTTGGGGGTTTTAGCCTTCGAACCAAGCTCAACTCCTCGGCCGTCCAGTCTGAAGCCTCACCCTAACTTTTACACAGCCGCTCGTTTTGTACAGGGATGGGGCAGAGAGGTGACGACCGGCTTCCTACTGGAGGCACAGCTTAAGTCTGGCTGGCTTTCAGGGGAACAAAAATCCAGCATAAACCTTGGTGTCTCAAGGGGTCTAGTCTCGCATCAGTCTAGTCTTGGCCCCCAAGCAATGCGGGGGTTCATGACATTAGGGGTGCCCCTTTTATACCCTACATCGAGTAGAATCCCCTTAAAGAACCCCCCAAAAAGGGTAGGTACCCCTATCTTCGGAAAGCCCCCAGAAACGAATAAAATACCAGGCTTATAGGGATCCGAGCCCTGGCCCAGAAATCGTCTGCTACAACTCCTCTTCCTCGCCCTCTTCCTCCTCGGGCGACGTGCAAGTCATCTCCTCGGCTCGACTTGTGTCGCTGCTGGTGGCCATGGAAGCAGCATGCAAAGAGTTCCAAGGCCCCTAAAAAGAAACCCCCACGCAGAGGGGCCAAGCAGGGTTGCAGGTCCAAGCGTCTCTCTTCTTAAAGGCCGTGAAGCCTGACTAAATCGAGACTGGGTTCGGGCCTTAGGGGGGGAGGGGGGGGGGTTTGCAGGCTTGGAGGGCGTACCTTAAGAACCCCCAAAAACCCTCCTTGTTTGTTTCTTAAGGCCACAAGGTGTGATGTGGCAAGAACCTGCCAAGAGTGAGGTGTCCCTATTAGCCTCCCCTGTTCTTCCATGAGCTCCGGGCATGGCCCTTTATTTAGGGTTTAGGGTTTAGGGTTTAGGGTTTAGGGTTTAGGGTTTAGGGTTTAGGGTTTAGGGTTTAGGGTTTAGGGTTTAGGGTTTAGGGCTAGAGAAGGCAAAGGGTTTGTGTCCCGGTTGTTGTCTTGTCGTTTTTTTTTTTTTTTTTGGGGGGGGGGGGGGGGGTTGGGGGGGGTTTTGCCGGATTGTTTTGCTTTTGCCTTTGCTGCCTGCTAGGGCCTTCTTTTTGAGCCCTTTTGGGCCTCGTCGCAGGACCTTTTCAGGCTCTTGCGTGCAGGGGTCTTACAGCGAAAGTCTATGGCTATGGCGCTGAGCTCGGGGAATGGGTTCAGTGTACAGGCCATACTCTCCCCACCGAAACCAGGTTTAGGTCCGTTTAGGTTTAGGGTTGAGGGATGTTGAGGGTGTGGGGTCTTTCCCTGTGTTGTTCTTTACCACAAGATGTGCCGGGGCCTTGGGTGATCCGATCCTCGGCCAACTCCGCGCCCGCAGGGTGCACGTACCAGAGCCTGCTTTGGGGAGCTGGGGCTCAGGTGGTTTCGGAGGTTTAGAGACGCAGGAGTGACGAGAAGCACTTTTAAGGGACTTGGTAGCCCAGTAACCCTATTCTTACAAGGGTACCCTTTGGGGGTTTTTTACTTTGTACCAAAAACAGGGAAGAAAAGGTACCACTGGGCTACCAAGAGGATCTTATCCCCTCCCCCTTCCCCCCCCCCCACCCCAAACTTAGATGTCCCAATCTAAACCTTTCAGGCTGTGAAGGGCCTCTAGTGGTTACGGGTGACTTAAAGGGTTTTGTGCCTCCGTTGAATGCAGACGGAGGTGCATTTTATAGATCTTGCAGGTATTTTCCTAAGGCTTGCGGTTTCGTTTCTAGGGCTCTTAGGCCAAGTTCTGCACCCGGAGAGTCGCAAGCACCAGGCAGGCGAGTAGCTTCGTCTGAGGGTGGTGGTGATAGCCGACGCACTCCTGAGATGTTTTGTGGTTTGGGGCTTTAGGTTGGGGCTTCGAGCCGACAGCGTAAGCCCTCAACACTACCTGGCCTGTACGTGAATGAGGGAGCTTGCCAGTAAGGCAAACAGAAATCCAGGTCACCAGGTCAACTATAGTCCCAGTTCTGTCTTCTGTCCTTTCTGTATGTCCAGCCCGGTTTCCTCCAAGGTCTGGGCCGTAACTTCAGGCTTAGGGTTCAGGGAGACCAGTCGCGTAGGCCTATGTTGGTGATGCTCGGCTCGCTGTACTTGAGGGGCTCGGAGGCTGGGCGTGTCGGGCGGGCTCCTGTAACCCTAAACCGTAAGCTCACAACGCAGCTGGGCTTCTTCATTCTCGTCGCAGAAGAGCTTGGCTTCGTCCTGGGGACACTCCGTTGAGCCACCCTAAGGCCTTAAACCCGAAAGCTGACCACAAAACCACAGAACCCTAAACCCTTTTTGCTTCAGGGCTCCTAACCCTAAACCCTAAACCCTAAACCCTAAACCTTCGACCCTCCTCTGCACGTCAGCTTCAGGAGGCACCTTGGGGGTAAAAGCCCCCTGAAGCCGCTCTTCGGAGTTCAGGGATGCTCTGAACTTCGACCCCCACCGTCCTGCGTGGGAAACTTTAGCCACACCCGCGCACCCGAAAATGCCTCACCAAGGCTGAGACAGGAGGGTTTCAGTTGGTCAGTTGGGATGCTCCCCCCTGAAACTAACAGTCTTGCATAGGGATTGTCGTTCCCTCCCCCCAAAAAACAAAAAAATCCTATTACTTCAGGCCTTAGATTCTGGGGGGCGCTATGTGGGGAGGTTCGGGCAATTTCGGGCGACTCACACATGGTTCGCGCCCTCAAATCCACCTCTCGCCCCTATACACCCATTTCAAGATCCTGCGTCTCTGGCCTACATCGGGTTTTGAGGTTTGGCAAAACCCTGAACCCTATTCCCCTAAGTCCCCCACCCCGGGTATCCTCGGGAGTCTGCGGGGCTTCGGTTGGTTCTAGGTCCCACTTCTGGTCCTTTCCTTGTGGGGTGCTTCCGAAATCCTTCTATATAACACTTTTTTTTTTGCCTACACACAGAATCGGGCGTGTTTGGGATGAAGTGGCGAGGATTGCAAGGCACCCCTTCGCCCCCCCCCTGCCTTGTCTGTGCTCTTCCGGTAGTTGCAGACCCGGCTGGGCTTCATGTCCTCCTTGCGGTTTAGGGGTATAGGCTTTAAGTGAAAGCTACTGGTGGAACTGCATAGGTGAAGGGGTTGGGGGCCACGGGATGCACGAACTCTAGCTGGGTGGCTTGGTGTTTGTTTTGTTTCGCCACCCGCAGGGTTCAGGGTTCCAGCTGTGTTTTCTTTGGCCACCCGTATAGCAAAGCTCCGCAGGGTCAGGGTTCGAGCAGAGAGCTCAGAGGTTTCAAATATGTAAATTATGTTTATGTAGATGTACATGTATGCGTATATATATATATATATATATGTATATATATATATATATATATATATTTATTTATTTATTTTTGTATATATATATATATATTTATTTATTTATTTATTGTTTTATTCATGTTTTCTGTATTGATTCATGATCTATATTATGGCTTTCTTTATGCAGAATACGACCCGATGAGGTCAGCAACAAGGCGTGCCAGTCAGCCCCTTCTCAAGCAGCATGCTGCCGAATCTTCTCCTCCTGAACTTCTTTTCTCTGAGCCGGTTTTGGGCTTACTTACTTCCTAAGCCCTCTCCTTCTCTCTCCTTTTTCTTTCTTTCTTTCTTTCCATCTTTCTTTCCTTCGCACTTGACCTTCTCCCCTTCTCTCTCTCTCTCTCCCCCTCTCTCTCCCCCTCTCCCCCTCTCTCTCTGTCTCTAGCTCTCTCTCGCTCGTGAACTCCGGACTCCAAATGCCCGAAACCGCTAAGCCCACATTTCAACCGATCCGTAGAAGGCCGAGGGCACCGCGCAGCAGGCCACGCCGAGCAGCAGCCAACAGACACCGGGCAGGGAGACGCCGCGCATGGCTCTTCTTCTTGCTCGTTCGTTTGTTGTTGCGTATACGGGTGAGGTGTATCAGGGGGGGGGTGCATTAGGGGGTGTATAGGAGGTGTATAAGGGGTGCATAGGGGGTGTATTAGGGCGTGGATTAGGGGGTGGATTAGGGGGGAGTTTGTGAAGGTGGGGGTGTGCTAGGGATCAGGGTCGAAGGTTTAGGAACTTGCCCATGCCCGACCAAAAGCCTCTTGAGCCTCCAATGTACCTACACTTCCATGTACGAATACTGCGGTACTTTTCCGTAAACAACACTGAAGGTAAATTACTTGCAGGGAAGCCCTACCACGAGAATCCATAACCTACTTCTGTTTAGTGCTTTTTTGGTACACTTCTCGATTTGTGCATGTCATGGTTGCGCAGTGGCCAAGGGGTTCGGGGTTGAGGGCACAAGGTACACTGCAGTGGATGGGTACTGCTCAGATTCCAAGTCTGGCTTCGGAGTTGAGGCTTCTTGGAGGGCTTCAAAAGTTTAGGTTCTGTAGGGTTCAGTGCTTAGAACATGCTCTTCGCTGCTGGTCTACGGCCTTGCGAAGTGGGCCTGAGATTGACAACTTGTGAGTGGCGGACAAGATGCCTGAGCCATAGGCGGAAACCCTGGCCCTAGTGCCTTCAACCATACGACGGCTTACCTCAAGAAGGAGACCTTACCAATGCAAAAGCTTACTTTTTGGGACAATTGCTGTAGAACCCTGCAAAGGGTCCACCGCATCTCGAAAGATGCTGTAAAGACAGGGGCCACGCCTGAGGCCCGTACTGATGAGATTGGCGACAGCTGCCTCAGTAGGAGCTGAGGGTCGAGAGCTTAGGGTTTAATTGGGGTTTAGGGGTGCGGTTTGGGGTTCTCGGGCCCGAGGGCTTCAGAAAGCTTAGAGAGAGTGACCCTAACCAAACACGAGTATCAGTATCCGAATGTCAAAGCTTGGGACTTCCCCCCGCCCTCACCCCCGAGAGCAGCTGAAGGGCTCTATAGTGCCAACCCTGACAACGACAACAAGAATCCAAGAACTCTTCAAACCCTCCCAAAACAGAGCAAAACGCAATGGACCAAGCCCAGAAGAGGGTTTAACCCGCATTAAGCCGCATTTAAGAGTTAAGAACTGCGTGGTCCAAGGCGCCGCGATGGCCGGCGTGGCGGCTGCTCCGACGTTGCCAAGCTGCAGCCCGCCAGATCGAGTCGCAGGCATTGTGTGGATGACCTGCTGAGGGAACCCTGCTGGTTTAGGGTTTAAAGGGTTTAGAGGGTTTAAAGGGTTTAAAGGGTTTAAAGGGTTTAAAGGGTTTAAAGGGTTTAAAGGGTTTAAAGGGTTTAAAGGGTTTAAAGGGTTCAAAGGGTTTAAGGGTTTAGGGTTTCTGCTGCCTAAGGGCCTCAGGCCCGAGTCAGCGGGCTACTACCCGACGGAAGCGCAGAGCAAGGCGGACTGTTGTTGTGGGCTTGCCGGCCTTTCTGGCAACCCTTCCAATCCTTTTAGGGGCCCCTGAAGTGCCCCAGAATGGCCCCAGAACACCCGTGCTGCTACAATGGAACGCCTGCTGAACCCGTGAAGCCTAAGGACTATTGAAGCCCCAAACTCCCCCTGGAGGTAGCCCCAATTTTAACGGTACAAGCCCCCTCAGTCCTCTAAGTAGTTAAGTGCCCACGAATGTCCAAGCATAAGCCCACTTTTCACCCTGCCCTTTTTTGAGCCCGTACTGAGGCCATATGCCCTAAGCCCCTACGCTACGACTCCCCAACCCAAAGCCCTAACCTTCCCGCAAGAAGCCGGAATCCGGAACCCCCGGCCTGGGCCCCGGGGGCCCCCACGGGCCGCCCCGGTACGGGCGAGCCGGTGCGAGGCGTCATGTAGAGGGTTTGGGCTGGCACGCCCTGGGTTCCGAGAAGGGTTCGGCTCTTGGGGTGCAAATTTGGGATTCTTTGAGGGGGCTTCAGGGTTCGAAAGGAATTCGGGATCCTTTGAGGGAGTTCGGGGGCCAGTTGTCGCAGCACGTCGCAATTGTTGCTAGAAAGGTGGGAGCAAGCGAACAACAAAAAATTTTGAGTGTCGCCTCGATTCAGCCTTTGGGGTCGAATTCGCTTGAGCCCCTGGATTCTGGGCCCGGAGGCCCTGTTCCACCAAAACTCTCTACCCCTATACACCCCAAAGCCCTGCGTCATCCTTAGTGGGGCTGCCTTCCATGACCCGGTCGTTAGACCTGCCTGCCCTCTTGAAATTTCGGGGGTTGTAGGCTTGGATGGTGCTCTGGGCGCACATGCCGGAATCCGTGGCGCGTGGGGCTTTGTCGCGCGTTGTCGTAAGCAAGCAAGGCCTTCTAAGTCGCACTCTTGCTCGGGTTCCAGGGTATAGGGCCTGGGTTCGAGGTCGGCATTTAGGGTTCAAGGGTGAAGGGGTTCAGGGCTAAGGGTTTAGTAGGGCACCCTAAACCCTAAACCCTAAACCCTAAACCCTAAACCCTAAACCCTAAACCCTAAACCCTAAACCCTAAACATACTGCAGCCGAGGGTTGCCTGCATTTGTGGCGCCATGTGGTGGGCCATGCGTGTCAGGGGCACCGAGGTCGCCATGGCCATGTCCAGAAGCAAAGAGACGACGCGCCCCAAGCCAGCCTAAGAAGTACTTGTACTCCCTAAGAGATCTCAAGAAGCATTCGTGTGAACTACCCAGGGACTACCAAACTCTGATTCGCAATCAGAGCAAGGCTTCTTTGCTAAATAAGGCAGGGATTGGCCTTCGGAGCCTGCGGAGTTCTCTCAGGTCTACACTTAACATGGAACCCTCGCCACCCCAATGCCCCTTATGCATCTCTTTAGCCTCTTTTGTTCAAACTGGATCTGCTCATCACCTTCGTTAGACCGGAAACTGCACGGGCGACGGCAAAACAACAATGGAAACTCGAAGCCTTGAGCCACGAAATCGAGGTCTGCAGATATGGCCCTTTTGGGGGGGCTTCGGGGAGTGGATGCGGGTGCCACGTTTAAGGGGTATACGAGGGGTCAACACAGGTCCTCGGAGCTTGAAGCAAGTAAGTCGTTACTTGGGGGAGGGTGCACGAAGCTTCGAGCTAGGTGTGCTGCAGCCCTTGTGCAACCTTGATTGAAAGATACGGGGGTTCACGAAAATAGGGGCCCCTCAACCTAACCCCCAAACACTCGGGTTTCCCGTATAATGAGGACCCCAATAAGGTACCCCCTACTTTCGGAAACCCCCCTATTCTAGAAAGGCATGCTTAGAACCACCCTCGTGCGACTAACCTACCCACCAACGTCTCCTACATCTCGGCGCGCAGGCTGCCGTAGAACGGAATTTAAGCAGCGGCACGCCGTTCAGGAGTGGAGGCCACAGTTCTACCACTTAGACATCTCTACACTAAACCCTAAACCCTAATACTAAACCCTAAACCCTAATTAAACCCTAAACCCTAAACTGGCACAGTGGACTGCTGAGATCCTCCCCGGCAAGTACCCTCTAGCAGTACCTCTCCTGCACGCCGACCTCCCAGCGAAGTTGGCTGTCAGGGACCCTCAGAAGATCCCCATAGGACTAGCGCAGGGACCCTGTGAGCTATCGGGCTTATCTTTAGGGTGGCAGGATTCAGGGCCCGTTCTGGGGGTTCCAGCCCCTTCAACTACAGGATTTTCGGGCCTGAGCTGCGAAGGCCTAAGCCCTGGGGGTTTGATTAGGGTTTTACGAGTTTAGGGTTTAGGGCTTAGGGTTTAGGGTTTCGGGACATGTATAAACCCCATAAGTCCTGCACCCCACCTCCACCCTGCGGGCGTCCCTTCGCGATGGGCGCGAAGAACAGGTGGCGGCACCATGGATCAAAGTATAGCGGGCTTGGGTGCGATGGGGGTCCTTGGTCTAGGGATTCGGGCGATTCCCCGACTTAAACCCGCTGGGCAGGAGGTGCCTGATAGGTCCAGCAGCAAGAGCTACTCTGCCAAACAGGATCGGTTCACTCACGTCTGCTTCTGCGAAGTTCAGCTGTTAGCGATTTCTGCGGCCTACTTTGCCTTCCCGAACTCGGAGTCCGCACGCTTGAGCGGATTCCAGCCTTTAACGCTTTTGGCAGCCTATATACGTTCATAGCTCGGAATCCACACGCTTGACGTCCGAAGAGCTCATCGCTCACACTCGGACAGGCCAGGTGAGGCACACACTGTTCAGCATCCAACACTTGCAGCCCTATCAGGCTGATGGTGAGGGGCTTCGTAGCTTGTACAAGTGGGTGGCATAACAAGCCGACCAAAAAGTCCGTGCAAACCAGGCCGCGACTCCCATGATTGGTAATTCTTCGGGCGCTTCCCAAACTGGGGGCCCTCCCTATATGTCCAGTCCTTGCAAGGACGCTGGAAATATAGGTACCCCAAACTCCAAAGACGAAACCCTAAACCCGGTTTCCCAGCTCCTGTTCCGTGCACGAATATGGTTTTGGGGGATTATATTAAAGTATAATTACTAATTACGATTGTTCATTAAATTGTTGTGTTTTTATGAATGTTCGGATATTGGGACCATAAGGGAATGCTTTTCGTCCAGGGTTCCAAGTATGGGCTCCTGATTCGGGTCCCTTGCTATATAGCCCCTGAAATATGCTTTTTATAACAACCCTAAGGGTCCATGTACCTAAATAGGGAGTATTTGGGCCTAAAGGTACCTCCTATATATGGACTTTGGGGCCCAGGTATTCCCCATTTAGGTACATGGACCCTTAGGGCAAGGGCCCATACTTCGGATCCCTTTCAACAAGCGTAAGGGACCATACTAAGGGCCCATGGTTCCGACCTTCAAACTCGTGTTTATTCCGATGCCTATGGTGTACAAATCCAGATGTCCTAAGCCCTTAGACCTGTTTTGCAACTGGGCGCGAGTCTGCCCGGATCTAACTAAAAAAACCTAAACCCTAAACCCTAAACCCTGAACCCTAAACCCTAAACCCTGAACCCTAAACCCTAAACCCTAAACCCTACCTAGAGGCTCCGGTGCTGTACACTGTACACAAGCGCGCCCAACCAGCGCTCAGTGTTCAGGTGGCCTCGCTTTGCGACCTTTGGTGCCCCCAGAGCTCGGTGCACGGTTCGCGACTCATGGTTTTGGACTCATTTGGGTTTCGGGTTTTCTGCAAGCACTCTCTGCGGCAGCAGGCTTCACGCTAGTGCAACTAGCCAAGCAACCCCCACCCCTGCATCAGAGGGCAACCTCAGGCCGCCCAAATCACTCGGGTTTAGGGTTTAGGGTTTGAAGGTTTAGGGTTTGGGGTTTAGGGTTTAGGGCTAGCACTTAATGGATGTTTAGGGTTTATGGATGCTTGGGGTGTAGGGTTTCGGGTCCAGGGTCTTAAGCCCGGAACGTGTTGCATCAGCGTATTGAATTGTAATGAAGTGTCATTGGGATGGTGAGAGAAGGCTGATGGGATGGGTAAACGGGGAGAGAAAGACAGAGATAGGGCCAGACAGAAACAGAAAGAAGCCTAGAGAAATAGAGAGAGAGAGAGACATGAAGAGAGAAAGAGAGATGAGAAAGAGATATAGAGAAAGAGACGGAGCAGACACGTAACTTCGGATCTCGAGTCGCGCATCGCGTCTCGTTTCATCGCCGTGCATGACGCGTGTCTGCACTCTGGCTGGTGGCCCGAATTATCCGATTTCATTTTTTGGGGGAGGAATCTAGCTATGGGTTGTATAGGGTTTTACCGGGACATCATGCAGGGTTGTATAGGGTTAGGTTGCAGGGCTGTTTCGGGTTCATAAAGTTAGGACCTTTAGGGACCGTTGTGATTCAAAATCATTTGCGAATGAACCCCTGCTCTCGCTATCAGCAAGTCAGCTACCTGGTTCTAGATATGCTGCCAACCCGCCTGCAACAAACGAAGCAAAACATCTGAGGCCCGGACATGCAGTCAAGATCTCCTCAAAAACGCTGAAGTACTCACTGCACTCGGCTTCTGCAATGCACTTGCTGTGCGTGAAGACTTGAAAGGCCACGTCATCCCACTCAACTTGCATCATCGCTTGCAGCATCTCTAGCGCCACGGCGTTCAGTCTTCCCTCTTCTTCTTCGTTGCTGGCGGAGAAGTCCGTGTACCAAAGGAATAGCACACCAAACCTTAAGAGCGTAAAGGCTTCTTCTTCAGCGTCGCTCAGGAGTTCTTCCCCCAAATCTTTGAAATACTTAGCCAGCCGCACCAGCACTCCCCTGAGGGTTTCACGATGGCAAGGATCAGGCAGGCAGGGCTGTGCCTTCAACTTCCCTTCTCCCTCGAGCTCCCGCAGCGCTTGTGCCAGCTTCACGCCCATGCAAGGAAGTTGCCCTGGCGCCTTCCTCTCTGCATGCAGCAGGCGGTCTATGCACCCACGCAGCTTCGCCGTCTCGATCTCCCTCAACTGAAAGGCCTCCAGGACGGACTATTTTACCCTATCACCCCCCCGAAAAAGGCCCTTTATAGGGTTGCCTATGGGGATTCTAGGGCCTAATATGCCTAGTAGCCCGTCCTGGCCTCTTGCATGAGCAGGATCAAACGACGGTGGAAGTTTCTGCTCTCGGGGTGTGCTTGGCATTTGGGGCACAGGTCCCAGTCGCAGTCTTTGCATTGCAGAACGACGATGTCGCAGTCAAAGTCGTCCCAGCAATTGTTGCACCACCCCTTGTGCCGTGATGGCAGCATGCGTTCCGCGCAAAGAGCGCAGATCTTGACCAGCGAACTGAATTCGCTAACTTGAAACCATGTCTCGGCCTCGCCGCCCTGCATCTCAGTCTCATGCACAAGCTCAGGCGGCTCCGGCATGCCACTGCTCAGGGTGCGCGTGGGCTCCGTGATGCTGCAGGTATCGGCGGGCACGCCCGTCAAGTTGCCTCCAGCCTGCTGCCTCCGCTTGGGCGCACGTGCGTGCGCGTAACCATGGTGCGCAGCGTCGACTTCCTCCACCTCATCCTGCAAATCGGGAGTCTACGCGCTTGAAAGCTTTTGAAACATCGTTTTGCCTCGTCGGCCTTTTCTGTTGCTGGTTGCGAAGTTTCAGTATGCTGTACGAGTACAAGTGCTCTGGCGTTGCTCTAATGCTCCTGCCTCAACCCTATAATCTCCAACTTCTCCAGATGCACAAGGATACAAGTTTAGGGTTGAGTCGCTCACGCTCGGACAATCCAGGTGAGACAACACACTCTTAACCACGAACTCAGGGCAATGCCCGGAAAGCAAAGTGGAAACCCACTAACCTGTGGATCTCGGAGCCTGCGCAAACGGTGCAGCCACGGATTTACCGCTAGAGGGGCTCTCTGTGCAGGGTGCGAAAACCCAATTATGGGCCTCACCATCTGCCAAGTGAGGGTGCGGCTGCGCATACGCCTGCAATTGAGCATTCAAGGTTAGGAAAAGTGGCAGCCCTGAGTCTCACGCAAGCACATAAGTTTGACTTGTTTCGGGGGCTTTGGGCTTTGGCTTAAACGTTTGGCAATTGCGAGGCATGCTTGTTTCGGCAAGACTGAGCAGCAAAACATCTCTTATCACGATCGCGTCTGAAAGGCGGTTGCATTGTTGGACTGTCCTGTCCGGTTTCTGCAGGGGTCAAAGAACCACTTAACTTCCTTCAGCAAAACACATCATCCACAAAAACCTCATTACAGGCGTTAGGTGTGTCTTTGCCCTATGCTATACAACCCCTTCATCAAGGCATGGATGGCTGTTCCGACTGTCAGCAACTAAATAGAGGGGACAGTGTCATGGCCCGAAGTGAGATCCTGAGTAGGGGCTGTTTACGTTAAATGCATACTCTGGACTTGAAGACTCTTGACTGAGTCCCCCCCGTACTGAAGCACCTTCATTCGAGCTACAACCCCATACGCGCCCAAGGCCTTGACCCTGAACCCTCGACCATAACAGTCACCTCAACAGGAGATTGAACGAACGCCCACCTGAGTCCCAGTCGTCACAGCCTTCGCCTCGCGAAACCGAATGCCAGGGGTGCCCTTCGCCTCGATGATGTGTGGCTTTTTTCTTAGGCTTCCTAGTATGGTTTCTGCTCGCCCCTCCTTCATTGTCGGTTTGATAGGCCGAGTTCCGTGTTCTCGGGGCAAGATCACTATTGCTATATCCTAGCCGCCTGCGCATTAGTTGTGCTGGTTGATCCATTTCCTTGCGGCGTTCTGCATCAAGTGCCCAGGTGTGCTTGCTCAGGTAATCGGGTGCCCTGCTCAGGTGGTGCTCCAGTGCTCAGGTGCCCGGGCTCAGGTGGCCTGGTCACGTGCGCAGGTGCTCAAGCGCTCGATCAGTTGATCAGGTGTTCGGGTGCCCTGCTCAGGGGCTCAAGTTCTCAGTGAGTCTTACACTCCAACTGTGGCCTCTCATCGTCCATGGGATTAGATTCAGATGATGTTTGAGCTAAGTGCCACCGCTCCGAAAACATGATGATGCTGCTAGATGCCATGAACCCTGAACCCGTATCCTTACACATTGATCTTTGCCTGGGTTGGGGGTTTTGACACGACCGCCAAAATGCCCCAAATCCCCACTGTGGTTCCATCCCAGGCCGGAGTTGTTCTGTTGCAGGAAGAAGAGCAAGGGTATAATACTGATTGCCATCAGGCTTGATTACCTAGTCCTCGACCTACCACTACTAGGATAGCCCTCGGAAAAATATTCCTAAATACGGTCCTCTTGAGCCCGGTAAGGGAATATATTAATGCCCAAAAAGCCTACCGAGACGACGACACAAGAATGGTAAGTCTTGAATAGTTATAGTGCTGATTCTTGCCCTTCTCAGCCGTCGTCCCACAGGCCTGGTGGTATCTCTTGAGGCAACGTACCAGCCGCCTCGGCATCCCAAGTGAGGGATGAAAGCATCGCCGTATGAACTCCACCAGCAGATGTAACCAAAGAACATCCAAGCCCCCACCACAACAGACGTCCTCAAGATCGATGATACCGACTTCAAACCCAAGGCACAGTATGCCAGAAAATGCACTTGTCAGATCCTCCTGCGCAGCATGGTCGCAGTTCGGTAATTTCAGCGCCTGGCCAGCCAGGTAGTACATCTTAGCCAGCGCCTGCAATCAAATAAGTCGAGATACACCACAACACACCCAGCACGCACCCCGAACTACAGGCAAGTTGATTCACGGTCCGCATCAGAAGCGCCTGCGCTCTCGGCGCCCTACAAAACAAAGCAACCAGCTCGACACGCCTCCGGATCGGGGTCGCCAGTGCGGCTGCCATCGCTGGCGTGTTGCTTCAGTAGGCCCAGAACGTACTGGAGCTCCACGACGAGGCGCTTGATCTCGCAAGCAGCTTTCAGGTGGGTCGCAGGGATGTTGAGAGTGGACTCCAGGGCTGGTGAGGCCAGATGCCGAATCTGCTCCATCTTCTCGCGCGCTTTCTGCCAAGCTGCAACCACCCGCACCTAGGATGGCCCTAGAAACCCATTCCAAATATGACCCTCCTAAACCCCAAAAAAGGGAAATACAAATTCTCCCACCCACCGAAGCACCCAAGGGCGGAGGCAACTGCGGGAGCTTTTGCAAGCGACCGGCAAGTTGGTCCTCGGCCTGCCCAGCAAGCTTCCCACGCCACATTCCAGGGCAAGCAATGCCGCCAGGCATGGCACCGCGTGCATGGCATTGCACAAGGCGGCTTCTTGTATCATCCTTGGCTTCGTATAAGGCTACTAGATTCTAACCTAAACCCATGAAAAGCTTAGTTACCCCGAAATCTGCACCCTTTTTTTGACGTTATACACCCCAAACCCAACTCCCCCTGTCGTCGGACGTATCCTCACATCGTCTCAAGCAAGCCCAGGCACAGCTCCGCCACCTCACCTCCCATGTGCCATCAAAGTGCAGTACAAGAGCATCCCAGAAAGAGTATCTTTCTAATACTACATGTGCATGCGTGTATATATATACATATGAATACAGTTGGTGAAGGAGACGGGATCATCTGCCGCACCGCGCACAAGCACTAGTGGAATATATCCCATGACGAAACTTCCACAGAACATCAGATTAAGGGACATCATGCTTGAAAATTGAGGCGAGATGATGTGCACATGACCAGGTTTCTACTCAATGTACTAGCCCACTCCAACTGCATGTGCGTGCGCGCCCTTCGTTTTCTAGGAGCACCCCCTGAAGCTCTGGTAGGTCGAAGCGGCACAGCCGCACAGCCCAGAGCCCCCCCAGCAAGTTTGCAGAACTCCACTAACCGTAATAAGCCTTCTTAGACTCTAGAAGGGCTCCGGCCTGCTTACAGTTAGGCTTTAGGATTTAGGATTTAGGGTTTAGGGTGGCCCCCCCCCCCCCCCCCACCCCCAATATCCCTAAACCTCGCCTCCTGCAGCAGCTTCACCGAAGAGAAGGAGGCAGCACCATGAAAAAATGGTATAAAATCTTCAGGTTTGAGGGGTTCCTTCGGGCCGTCCTCTATGCCAAGCCATTGGAGATCCCGCAACCATGCTGAGCCCTATCACCCCCTCGTTGGGCTCCTTTCGTGTTGTTGTGAAAAAGATTTTTGGCTTGTAGGATTGAGGGCTTAGGGGATGGGGGCGGAGTTGCAGGTCAAGGGAGTGGGGTTGGGGGTTTAAAGCCTCGCGTCTTGAGCAGCGTCGGGCTTCAGAGCCGGCCAGCTGACTTGAACGGAATTGGGGTCATAACCTTGAACGTTGACAACCCCGAAACCTTGGGGCCTGGCCCGCGCCGGGTAGTCTTTCCCAAAGCCTCCGACCCTCACCCCTCCCTTCACCAAGGTAAAGCCCCAAACCACCCTAAACCAGAACCCAAGAGCTCAGTGTCTGCTCCTTGCATGAGCCCCTAAACCCTAAACCTTGGCTCAGGGGCTTGGGGGTTTCGAGCCCCCATAAGCTTCACGATCCCCCTTCACTTCCGAACCAAATGAGCGTTTGGAACCCAAACACAAGCGTAGGGTTTAGGGTTTAGGGTTTAGGGTTTAGGGTTTAGGGTTTAGGGTTTAGGGTTTAGGGTTTAGGGTTTAGGGTTTAGGGTTTAGGGTTTAGGGTTTAGGGTTTAGGGTTTAGGGTTTAGGGTTTAGGGTTTAGGGCCGGGCTAGCGGCTGGAGGCGGTGCTTCGGGGTTTAGGATATAGGTTTCAAGGTTGAGGGGTTGTTGGTCGGTGAGGGACTCGCGCAACCCTAAGCCCTAAATCCTTCAAGGCCGTTTGTTCTCATGAGCCCCTTGAGCCCTCCCTTAAACAACCCTCTAGAGCCCCGAACCCTGCCTTTATGAACCCTTTGTGAGGCCCTAAACCCTAAACCCTAAACCCTAAGCCCGAACTTCCCAAGTCAAGGGCTCAGGAGGTCCTCCAACATGCCTGCCAAGAACTGGGCGTGTTGGAGCGCCAGGCTGAGCCTTGAGCCGCTTCGGGTTTAGGGTTTAGGGTTTAGGGTTTAGGGTTTAGGGTTTAGGGTTTAGGGTTTAGGGTTGGGCTTCTTTTGGATATTTTCTTAAGGGTTTCGGGGACAGGCCCGACGAGAGTTTTGAGGGTTTCTGGGTCGGAAAGACATATGCGTGAAAGCCAAGTGGCACCCTCACTCTCTCTCGCCTCGGCGCTCGCTCGATCTCTCTCTCTCTCTCACACTCTCTGACTCCCTCTCCCTCTCCCTCTCCCTCTCCCTCTCCCTCTCCCTCTCCCTCTCCCTCTCCCTCTCCCTCTCGCTCTTGCTCTCGCTCTTGCTCTCGCTCTGGCTCTCCGTCTCCCTCTCGCTCTCGCTCTCGCCCTCGCTCTCTCTCCTCGCGTACTCAGTCCAGCTGTCACATGCGCCATCTACCCTCTCTCCTCAAGCCAAAACAGAGGATCTGGTTGTGACGGTAATGTTGTTTCGTTTGTGGGTGGGGGAAGGCGGTTGTATAGGGTCTGGGGTGCAAGGCTGAGGGGAGTGGATCAATCTTGAGGCCAGGCGGCTGGGAGTTCTCGCCAAGAAGAGCCCGGGCGACCTGCCAATAGCAGTGGATGTTTGGGGGTTTGGGGTTTCAGGTTTAAGGGTTCAGGGTTGCTCGTTTGGTGTCATCGCGTCCATAGGCTGAAAGGGCCTTCCTTGAAGATTGCGGATGCGATGGATGCCCTTTCCGGCCACTCACTAGCTCTAAATACGCAACAAACGGCTGCCCCGATAGGGCCTTCCACTGCTCCAGTTTTTGCCCTGAGAACTGGAAAACCTCCTTAAACTTAAACCAAGCATGCGCAAGATAAAGACCTTAAACCTGACACCGCCAAAAAAACACCGAAGTTGAGGAAGCCAGTGGGTCAAACCTTAAACCCTGATCGGCATCCTCAAGCCCCCGGACACTCAAGAGGAGTGCAAGAGGTTCCCTTACTGTACGGCCCTTTTATTCCCTTAGACGGATCTTGACAAAGGGAACCTTTGGGGTCCAAGGTAGAGCCCCATGTTCTAAGCCCAAGCCCCAAGCACTTAACTAGGAGCCTCTTAGCCCCCTGGGCCCCGATTTCTGGAACCCGAAAACAGAAACCCTTTTCCATCAGGGGTTTAGGGTTTTGTTCGGGCTAGGTTTTTTTCGGTTTAGGGTTTAGGGTTTAGGGTTTAGGGTTTCTTTTCCTAGAAACCCCCAGAGACAGAAACCCAAAAAGAGCTGAGCCGTTTGGCATCGGGAGCTCGGAGCGTCAGCCGCTGCATCTCGCCCAGGATCTGGAGCACCTCCCAGACTCATGGTGTGCGCCACCGGTTCAGGATTTTAGGGGCTGGGTTTAGGGTTTAGGGTTTGGGGTTTAGGGTTTAGGGTTGAGGGCTTCTGGTTTAGGGTTTACTGCAGGGTGAAGTTTCGGGCCAGGGTGCCATCTTGCGCTGGGAGGGGAAACGCAGGTTGCCGCGCATGTTCACGAAGGGCCCTCGACACTCGTAACTCCCTCTCTGCTGAGAGGGCTCAGGATCACGCTTTAGGGTGTCCCAGCTACAGTCGAACCAGGCTTGGGGGGGCTGTCTCATGAGGGTTTATACCCTAAACTCTCAATCCTAAACCCTCAACCCTAGACCGCGACAAAAAGAGCGCCGCGCTTTGCCGCCTGCACTGGCGTCAGCGTCTCCATGAGTCGAGCTACCTGATGCGCAGGAAGGGAAGTGTTCCCAGCAGGGGGTGATGGTTTAGGGTTTAGGGTTTAGGGTTTGGGGTTTAGGGTTTAGGGTTTAGGGTGCGGAAGTCCTACAGCTCTGAACCTTGCCAGTCCGTCCTAGAGACTGAACGATCTCCCGGGAATCTCCTTCACCGTTTCACTTTGATTTGGGTTTGGGGCTTCTTCAGCTAGGTCAAATAACCCTACCCTAAACCCTAAACCCTAAACCCTAGACCCTAGACACTAAACCCTAAACCCTAAACCTACCCTAAACCCCAAACCCTTCCATGCACCACGCTCTTGGGGCTGGATATCGCGTGGCGTGGAAGGCATTTGTAGTTCGGGCTTCTGGGGGTTTAAGGTTCCGGGCTTACAGACCCTGAATCGGAGAACCCTTATCTACCCCCTATCACCCCAGAAAGCCCAGGGCTAGTACTTCACAACCCTTTTCTTCCCTTCGACCAAAATGGTCGTATAGAGTTTGGGCCAAAGCCCTCCCGCACCCTGCTGCTCTCCTCCAACCATCCTTACGAGTTGGGACCTTCTGAGTTTAGGGTTTGGGGTAGTTCATTGTTATGAATCCTCCTTGAGACCATGAAAGAAAACACCGCTCGGCCCCAGCCCTTTTTCATTAGACCTGTGGGCGAAGGTCCCCCGGCAACCCCCCCTCCCCCCCAACCCAAGCCCTTCTTCCTAAACCTGTGGTTCGTTAGAGGTGTTCGTCTGTTCCCAAGCCTGCCACAAAGCTCGAGAAGCCCTGACTTCGCCTCCGCCCGCTGAGCCAGCTCGGCCGCCGCCATCTTAGCCTTTTCAGCTGCCTCGCGCGCCCGGCTGAGGAAAATGGGAATGATTGTCAGGGTTTAGGGTTGGGGAAGTGGGGCGGTCGGGGGGGGTTGTAGGGTTTGGGGTTTGAGGAAACCGGGTGTAGAGTTGAGGGTTATAGGGCTTTGGGGGGTTTAGCAATCCAGGGTGGTGGGGGTTGAGGGTTCTAAGGATTTTGGGTTCAGGAAAGGCTTCGGGGGCAGAGATGGGAGTTGGGAGATTCTAGGGCTTTTCGGCGTTTCGCACACATCGTCCAGAGGCAATTTCAAGCTACCCGCACGGCGCATGGTGCGTGGTGAGTTTAGGGCCTTCTCGAGTCGACCAAGGAAAGCAAACCGCACCTTTAGGGTTTAGGGTGATTTAGGGTTTTAGGGTTATTTAGGGGTTAGGGTTTAGGTTTAGGGTTTAGGGTTTAGGGCTTAGGGCCTAGGGCTTTTTGGGGAAGAAAAAAATCGAAACCTAACCCCGCGGAGCCCAGCAACACCCAGGCCTCCTGTTCCTTCTGCCGCTGCAGCTTGTCCACAATGGTGTCCACTTTCGGGAGGGTCGCCGGGTCGATGAGACTGGGCCCTACCAGAAGGGGATGCCAGTCGCAAAGTATGCTGCTGACCACGAGAAGGGGTTTAGGGCTTAGGGTTTAGGATTAGGGTTTAGGGTTTGTGCACCCACCTTCCTACGCTGACTTGGGATCTTTGGGGCCCCGACCTTGGTGGGGCTCCAGAAAAATCCACGAAACCTTGCGTGG